TGGAGGAGTTTGTACAAGTTGTAATATGTGCTGCTAGTTGCTAAGCTTTACATATATTCTCTCCTACTTCAGTCAGAAGAGTTCAGCATATCTGGAGAATGAGCCGGTGGTGCTCGACCCTCGCCAGAGGCCACGCCGGTTACAACCACACACGAACACACATAACAATGTGCGCGGACACATTCTTTACGTGGCCCAGTAAACAGTCAGAGGAAGTATGCCGCATACAGCTGCCAACGCTGTCATTTCTTATCGTAATCAAATTCATCGTTGGGTTTTGATTTTACCAGGGCAGCTTTCATACCAGGTCCTCTTCAACTGTATGGGATGGAGAGCCTCTTAGAAACGAACAATTTGTCTCATTTCAAAGATTATCTTGATTTGCTTTAACCCTTAGTTTCTGATACTCCAAAGTGCTTTACACTAACATGGTCAACATTAACACATTGCACCACACACACACATCAACACACACACACAACACACAACCACACAACACACCATCCCACAACACACACACACACACCCACCACCAGCACCACACAACCACACACCACAAAACAGCACACACCAACACACACACACCACAACGGTGTTGGGGTTCAGTATCTTGCCCATGGACATTCGTATGTGCTGCCGGTGCGCTCCACCATCTCCTGATTCGCAATAACACACGCCTGACTCATGTGTGGACAGGTAAACTAATAATCAAACCTCCTAATTAGAGTTACAGACCCTTCTGCTACAATTGCAGTTTACTGATAAGAACCCACCCGCATCCCCAGTTTACCAGCATGACAAAAAAGGCGAAGAGGTCTGTCCCTCTAGAAAACCCGATCATTAAAAGGCAGATATCTACGCTACTTATTCCCTGACTGAACACCTCTTCCGTTCAGAACTTCATATGTAGAGATTGTTGCCGCCTCTTTCGCAAATATACCCATGCACGACAGGCATGCCAAAAAGGACCACGTAGGGTGGTGTTTAGTCCGGCTAGGCCAGTATCATAGAAGAGCACTGTGGCCTACGATTTATGATTCCACTGGCTTAAACTCCGTTCACCAGGTATTCACTGCTTGGGTCGGCACAAGACACCACAGCAGGAAGAAACCGTCATATTGCCTCCGAAAGCCTCCTCAGGTTCTGCCGTACCGGACCTTCTTCTACACTGGCAGCCTCTCCCAGCAGCACGCTTCAGAACTTCAACCCGGCTGCCTCAGCTCAGCTACATCCAACAGTAACCCGAGGGGTCACAGACCGCAGGGGCCCGCTGCCCCTCTCACTATCTCTATAGCCTTCTACCTTCTCCTCTGTTATGTGACCGGCACGAACTCAGTGGTCGGTACCGCTCACTACAGTACATTTCTCAAGGAGCCTACTGTAAAATGTTGAGGTATCTTGTACCTCCTGAGATTTCAATGTCCTTGCTGACTACTGTACTTTTACCCCATACATTCTCCCGAGGTAATGGCTGCGTACTTTTACCCACTACCATGTAATAGTTTAATACCTTTAGTTACTTTACAGATGTCGCGCACTGCTCGACCTCGTGAAATACAATCATACCGTCGCTCAATCAGACTTTAGTTCCACCTGGAGTAATCCGCTCACCCCTGCCAGTCACCAAAGTCATTCAAACTAGCTGCACCTTTACCTAGCTTGGAGAACACTTCATGATCTATCATTATAAAACATATCATATATATTATTCTGAAATGGACCAATCTGCACAATGACTACTTTTACTGTCGCTACTTTCACTATATTTTGATACTAATACTTTTCTACTTTTACTTGAGTAAGATTTTAAATGCAGGACTTTTACTGTAACAGGGTATTCCTACACTCTGGTACTTCTACTTTTATTCAAGTACAAGATCTGAGTAATTCTACTTTTACTCAAGTACAAGATATGTGTACTATTGCCACATCTGGAAGAGACTAACAAATAAAGCTGTGAGCTGAGAAGTTGTTGCTATGGAGACGAGCGGGTGCGTTGAGACATCCTACAGCTCCTTCATCTGTCCTTCTTGTTCCTGTATTTCTGTAGACAGGACCGGGACATAGAGCCTGAGGACTTCCAGCGGTACACAGAGAAGGTGCAGACGTCCCTGCAGGACTGCCCCGTCCAGCGGCCCCCTGCTGCTCTGCTGTCCAGGCACAGGGAACATAGTTCTAGAGCCAGACAGAGCATGTCACAGAAGGTAGGACCGAAGAGTGCTGGACAACTGTCATTCTTCATTTTGTTGCTATGATCTGTGTCATCCTGACATTCAAAAAACCCTCTCATAGGTCAGCAGGGAGTCCAGCCTCCCCCTGGGCCTGATGGAACTGAGGAGTGGTGAGCAGGAGCCGTCCGAGCTCAGTATGGAGACCTGCTATCTCTCTTCAAGCCCAAGGGCAACCCGTCAAGCCTTCCACTACGGTGGCATCGCCAACAGCAGGCAGCACCTCACAAACCTCCCGGAGTCCCTCTCTGAAAGGTTTTTAAGGAACAGAACCTACCTCAGGGTCACAAGTGTTCACAGCTCTTTCTTTCTGAACACAGTGCTTAATGCGACTATCTTCTCACAGGTCCCACTTCTCCTTGTCCCTGAAGACCAACTCATCGTTTGGCCTCATCTTTTATGTATCTGACGTCCAAGAGGACAACTTCATGGCACTGTTCCTGGCCCACGGGAAGCTCGTATACACTTTCAATGCAGAAGAGCAAAGAGTCAAAATCAGGAGCGAGGAGAAATACAATGACGGTGCATGGCACAATGTAAGTGTGCCGTCAAAAGTGAGTGGATGCATGTTTAGCCATGAAGCTGACGACCTCCTCTCTTCTCCTGTTGCAGGTGGTTTTTATCCGTGATGGGATTATGGGCCGGTTGATTATTGATGGGCTCACAGTGCTGGAGGACAGAGCTCAGGGAAGCAATGTCTCCTGGCATGTCAGCAGTCCCCTGTTCGTGGGAGGGGTTCCTCCTGGGAGAGCCCAAAAGAATATTCAGGTATGGATGCAAGTTTTTGTTGAAGAGATTAAACCATGAACACAGCGTGGGTCATTTGTAGCATGAAAATTCAATCAAGTTCTCTTGCACCGAATAAAAAGGCTAACCTTTGACAAGTCTCTCTAAATTATGACCCATTGTGTCTACCGGACATATATGGTTATACTGGCAGACATCCAGACACCCAGCTGTGCTCAGCTCAGGCTGCTCTACTCGTGTCACTCGGTTATTTTTGGAAAACACGTGATGGCCGGCTGATTACGACATTTCCGCATGGTTTTCAAAGTAAGAGCATGATGTTTTTGTATTATAATGAACAGCGGAACGTTAGATGCATTCTTTATCACCATCATCATCATGTTATAGTGATACAGTTAGTTTGTGTTAGTTTATTGGTTCAATTCAGCATATATCGAGCACATTCGTATGCATTGTTGTTGAAGTACAGGCTACCCCACTTTCGGGTCCCGGGGGAGCAGCAGGCAGCGAAGCAGCCCAGAGATAACTCTTTCTTCATTGTTTTCGTGTATTCAGTCAAGCAGGTCAAAGTTACAAAGCACTTCACATCTTATTAATCGGCCTAGTTTTACCTTACCAGTGCAGTGGTAAGGTGAGTTTGCAAATCTTTTAAATGCATTTGTGGATGGTGTTTTACATTTACAAATCACATATTTACAAACAAATTATTTTTATGTTCACACAAATAATTATGAGATATATTTAAGCCCATACGCTAGCCTCTTTAGCTCATGCTAAACATCAGCAATTTACGCTTACTTGTAATTGCTTAAATGTAACAACATTAGCATAAATAAATAAGAGTCATGTCTGATTGAGTATTGTTTCATACCATATCCATCTTAGTTAGTTTACTTTAGCCACCTCTGGAAATTGTCATAGATTACTGTATTGGGTACAACCCTTTGGATGTGTTTTATTTCCTAATTATTCAACTATTTATTTGTAAGAGAAACCGACTTTTGGGTAACCAGGGCCTCTATTTGAGTGACAGCTATGAAAGGGGGACACAGGGGGGATGACAGGCCCAGTATATGTGATGTCAGCTCTACCAACTGAGCTACTGTACACGAGGGCCCTCCCTATGAGTTTATAGACTAACCAGTCTGAAATTGGTCCCCATGTGTTTCCCTTCAGAGAAACTCTGCATACAGCTTCACCGGCTGTTTGAAGAACCTGCAGCTCGATGGCCAGTGGCTGTCCTCGGTGACAGAGACTTTTGGGGTCACCCCATGCTTCGAGGGACTTTCTGAGGCGGGAACATTCTTCTCAGAGGAAGGAGGATACGTCCTGCTTGGTAAATTTATAGTACTTTTAAAAAATGTAATACAAAAGACATCTTAGTTGTCACATTGCATACATGTAAAGTTTGCACAGGGTTGTTTTTGTGGAAACACCATGTACATTGGGCAGAATCTATTTTTAAACTAAACATCTGGTATATTACAGGGCGCATTAGATTTCCTTCTGGAAAACTCAAAGCCCCTCTAGCTGACAGACTGAGAGGCTGATAACTACAGCTCAGTGAGGTAAAGGACTCTCTCAGTGTTTAGATAGTTCACTTTAGTCTAAGTTATCTCAGTGGGTCTCAAACGTTTTGATCACAATTTATGTAAACACATATTTCCAAGGCACTCCTTTACAATTATTGGGACAAACAGGTTTGAAATCATTTCAATGTATACTATAGGACAGTAAACCAAAATTATTGTTTAAAACTGGAGGGATACAAAAATTGCTAAATTACTAAATAAATGTTTACTAGGTAAAATAAGATATGAATGAACAACAAAAATAAAATGTGTTCCATTTATTTGTTATTGGCTATGGTAGGCTATTGGTTATGTTCACATACTTATTTGATTATTAAAATGTAAACCGATCTTTTTCGTATGGGTGTTTTATAGTTGTACCCCCATATCTAGCCTCTAGTAATTGTGTGCTCAAAGTGCACCAGATTGAAGCATTTTACTTTAAAATGTTCAAACATTTATTTCCGGGTGGTGATGTCCACCCTCCAATTCAAACATGTTCATACAATACTGAATACATTTTGAAGTCTTTTTGATGTAAATTACCTATGTCAATAAGTTTCTGTTTTTGTAGTGTATTTGTCTTTTGTAGAGATTTTTCATTTATTCTTTATATATTCCATAGGGAGGGAGGGGGGGGCGCCAGCTAAAATCTCGCCTAGGGCATCAAATTGGCTAGAACCGGCCCTGCATATACATAGAGAGAGATTAGTAGGGTGAGGGAACATGATACCCTCACTGCAACTGTGGTGAAGTAGTGTATCTGCTGAGGAGGGAGGGCAGCAGGTGGGGAATAAAAAGCCCCTAGGAACTAGTGAGCTGATCTGCAGCTGTTGAACAAGAGAGTCATTTCACACGTGCACCACAGAGAAACAGGGCTGATTCTATAAAAATGGGAAGCCCTGAATCATCAATCAAGGGAACCTCCGGCCCTCCGGGCCGTATACGGACCGCGAGACCATTTAATACGGCCCTCGAGGTAATTCATAAACACACGCACAAAATAAAAAAATTAAAAGAAATCTAGACCGCAAAAGAATTAAACAAGCGAGTGCCTGTTTTTCCTGGCCAAGGTCAGGGTCCTTGAACACAACACGAGCCTAACGTGTCATCGCCTGGTATATGTCTTGTCTGACAGGGGTGTAGGGTGTAGTGCTCATGGAGAGCACCAGAACGCCACTCCGGCAATTCAAAAATTGCAGTACCCATAAGGAGCTGTACACATGCCGCAGTTTTTGCGTGGCTGTGTCTCTAGTTGTAAGCCCATTGGCGATCCGTTCATCTGTCATACTGATCATACACTCAATAACTTTGTTGTTATTAGCATCTGGTTAGCTAGCTATGCTAACGAATATAAGAAGCTTTTTCTACCACCAGTGAGGCAAAGGCACATCTTTATATGATCATTATTTTGTAAAAAAAATAAGAGAATAAAGTAAACAGGTATAAAATACTATATGACAG